TCAATTTCTTAACAAAAATAAATTTTTTCACTGATCCCTGCTAACTTAACTTAGTTTTTTCTAATCTTCTTCTCTTTCTCTCTTTACCCCAACCTGATTCACCTGTTTTATCAAGAATAATTTATTGATCACGAATGGATTGTTTGAAGCCTTGAAAGAATAAGTTTTTTGGTCACCGACCGCCGTTTGGGCTCCTCGACTGATTGGCTTCAATTCTTAACAAACCATTAAGGCACTCACCACTTTGCAACGTTCTTTACTCTTGTTGATATTGGAATTTGGAAACAACAAATTAATTTGGATGGGCTTTGCGAATTGGGAGTTTTGGAGTTTGGAGGTCTAACATAATTTGGTAATTTTGTAATTAAAAGGATTATAAAACTTAGAGATCTTAAGAGAATTAAGAGAGACTTGCCACTCTACATTTATTTTAAAAATTAAACTTTGAGCTAATTAATTGAGCTTAAAAATTAAAAAAAGAAGTCTACTCACACTACATACAAAGAAATATTTTTGGGCCTATATTTTCCCACTATTTTCTTGGGCCTAGGGCAGTCGCCCCTATTGCACCCCCTAGGGCCGCCCCTGTTGAACACATTGATGTTACAAAGTCTAAACTCTAAAGTACTCACGTTTAACTTACCATGTGTGTTACTCAAGTCGACGAGCTTTTGTACATATAACTTACCATGTGTGTTGTATATATGCATTAATGCATATAAAGAAAGAAAAAACCTCTATAAATGTTCTAACTTATAATCTCACTATCCTTTTTCAAAACTCTAAACAGAACTTATTCATTCTTAAATTTCGACGGTTTCTATTCTTATAGTAATGTACATACTATATAAGTCACATTTCGAGAGTGTGGCATATCTAGTTGTATTTATGAATTTGATCATAATTATTTAGATCAATCTTACGTATCTATTGACAAGTTAGGGGTGGTTCATCATACTTCCTGCGTCCCAATATAAACGATCTATTTTCCTTTTCGGGCCGTCCCGATATAAAAGACACATTCCCTTTTTGGCAAACAAAACAATGTCAAACAGTATCCAAACAGTATCAAACATTGTTTATTTGTTCATCCTAAATATGTTTGAAAAAGCAAATGTGCTCTTTATATTGGTGGGAGGGAGGGAGTAACAAGATTCCAATAAGACTCAATCTAACAAGGCACATGATATGACATGAGTTCGCCTAGCTCCCACATACATATAGACACACACATGCATGATGTGTTTAATTTGCTTGTGGCCTGGTTTAAATAAAAAGGCAAGAGTGCATTTTTACCTCTCTATGATAAGGGGTGGTTCGGTACCGTATACCGAATATTTTCTCTTATATCTTTGCCGTACCAAAATTTTCGCTATACAAAATTTATACAGAGCCGGCTCAATAGATTAGGAGACCCGGTGGAAATCACGTAAAATAAGCCTTATATTAAATAAATAAAATATAAAAAGCAGCCTTTAAAAAATAAGAGAAAATTACCATGGGTATGAGTAAAACTCCATGAGTTTCCCAATCTATGACCTAACTAGTTTTATTCCCAAAATAATATTTAAAATTTTAATTTTTAATTAATTTCGTAATTAGTAAATAATTAAATTAATTTCATGTACTAATATACCCTTTAGAATATGCCTATAAAACCCTAATCTTCTACTCATTTTCTCTAAACCTAAGCTCTAGCCTCAGCCGCACATCTGCCTCCCACGACCGCCTGTCACCACTGTCCCGCTGCACAGCCGCCTGCCGCCTCGCTACGAGGAGCCATCATCCATGTGTGCCACCGTCATCCCAAGCTCAGGACGCTGCCTCTCAAGCCCCACCCTTCGTCCGCAACCAGCCGTGCCTCCCAGGTGCCGCCGTTCGCCCATAAGCAGCCGTCGTCACCGTCTAGCTGTCGGAGAGCCATGTGTGCCGCCGTCGTCCCAAACTCTGCACGTCGTCTCCCAGGCCCCGATCTTCGTCCCCAACCAGCCGCCGCCTTCCAGGTGCCGCCCTTCATCCCCAACCAGCCTCCGCCATCTAACTGCACGGCGCACTCCAACTCACCGCCTCCATTCAGCCGCACGACTGTCCGCCTCCATTCAGCCGCACGACTGTCCGCCTCCATGGGTGAAGATGACTCGCAGAAGACTTCCGTAGATGAATACTCCAGTTACAATTAGGTTTGGATTTTTTGTTTTTTTTTCTATTTCTTAAAGTTTGGGTTTCTAAAATTAGAGTTTCTAAGCATTGAATATGTGCACCGAACATCATAACAGATATTGTTGAGAATGGAAATATATATGTTGTGCATGGCAGTGAATAAATGCATTAAGCAAGTTTATTGTGCGGTGATAATGACCGGTATGCAGTAATACAGAGCAGTAATTTTGCCATGAACCGCAATATACTTAATTAGACGTAAAATAATAATATTATTAAATCTAAAAAAAACTATAAATAATTTTGTAAAGTAAATTAGATGAGAATCAATTTTGATCGAAGTGCAGTGATTATTACCGGATGTGCAGTGAAGTCATGCATTAATTTTGTGCATTAACGGCAATATAAAATACAGTAATTTTAATTGGACGAAATTAGTTCAAAATGCACATATTTTAAATAAGGGTATTTTCGTCATTCAACATTTAAATATAAACGAATTTTCTATTTGTTTTTGGATTTTTGGTCATACAAAGGTATAAAAACTAGTTAGTTCATAGATTGGGAAACTCATTGAGTTTTTGTCATATTCTAGTAAATTTCCCAAAAAATAACCCAAAAAGACTACAATCAAATGTGACCTTGAGATATAATCATATTCGAACCTGAACAACCAAAATCGGTAAAAAAAACTAAACCGAAAAGAAATGAATTAAAATTATAAACTAAAAAATATAGAGTAGGATATTGCTGAAAAAATCACTCCCCCCCTTAAAACCAAGATCGTCCAAACTCTACTAGGAATTTATGCTAATTACTATAACTAGGCCTTATCCAGGCCTTATGTAATAAAGAAGTGGCACATTTATAATTAACAATTGCATTTTAATTACATATAAATATTAGTATTTAATGTTTGTATTTAAAAACAAAATACTAAAATAGGAATCTTTAATCAAATAAAAAGGATTTTGTATATTATGTAGACTATATTTATAATTCGGGGCCTTCTGAATTAAAATGCGGTAAGAGTATGGTATCGGTAAATTACCATAGACTAATAAAATAGACTAAATCGATGTTACTAGCGACATATTTAATCCATTATTAAGATGTTTCAAAATACAATTAAAATCTATTGATGTCAAATTCAATATTGAACAATAATTACTTTTAGTATATTTAAGTAGTTCAACATGCCACGTATTAAAAAGTAATACATTCTGCTAAAATAACTCGAATAATATGGATATCATTAAATCAATAGCCTTTAACAAAAATAAATAATTTTTTACAAACAATATGGATATAAAATCATTTATTCCTAATATGATTGTGTATTTAGTCATTTTATATTTTTTAAAAAAAATATTTAAATAAGACTTTTGAACAAAGTTGTATGTTTTGACTCATGGAACCCCTATGTAGATACACTCGTCACACTCATTAGCGGCTCAACCATCGTGACTCGCAAGCTCTTGGGACAAGATGGACTTATTTATATACATTAGTACGTTACTCATTAGTCATTAGGGTAGTTTTTTTGAATGTTACGTAATAGAAGCCTATAAGATTATAGTGGGTTGTGAAATTGGGCCTTTATTTTTGTATTTTGATATTTGTAACCAACTTAAGTATTAAGTTTAGGCTTCAAAATTGTAATGGACTTGTACAATATTTCAGAATTTAAAGTAATTTTTGGGTAGGGAGTCGGTACGGTATTACTCCCTCCGTCCCGTTAGAATGTTCCCGTTCACTATTCATTGGTCAACTTAGGTCACTCCTAATTTTTTACTTTATATATCAAATTTTTATCAAATTGAACTTTTCTTGATCAGGCTTTGTAGCGGTTTTAATGTAGTTTCTGAATATGTAAATTTTATTTACTAAAAATAAGCGGAGTAAAAAAAAAAATAAGCGGAGTGTGAACAGGGATCGAGTTGCTTTATCGTCAGTCAAACATCGTAAACCGAACGGGAACATTCGAACGGGACGGAGGTAGTATATCGGTATACCGTGGTATTTGAAAACATTTACCGGTACCGTACCGAAATAAATCGGTACGGTATGATACCCTACCAAAAATGACGGTATACCAATATTCTGGTATTTTCCGGTATTTTTCGGTACGGGAAGTGTGGTATACCGATTTTTCTGTATTTTTGCCCAATCCTATCTATGATGCAATTTTCATTTTTGTGTGATATTTTTTGAATTAATTACTACTCCGTAAATTGTTATTGCAGTTTTGAACTAAACATATGTCTAGCTTATCGATGTTATTGCATTTTCAATGAGAAAATGTTATTTGTTTGAATCAAATTAATACTACCTCCGTCCAAATTTGATGATACCATTGCGGTTTACGAAGTTTGACTAATGATAAAACAAACAGAACTCTGTTCGCACTCAAATTTTTTTTAGAAAAAAAAATACATATTCAGAAACTACATTAAAAACTTTACAAAGTCGCAAAAATCTGGATTAAATTTGATTAAAATTTAATACATAAATAAGAGACTAAGAGTGATTTGTGTTGACCAAAAGAGATAGGAATGACACCATCAAATTGGGACGGAGGTAGTACCAAATGACGCATATTAAAATGTTTATATCACACCGGACTTGTAAAAAGTACTCTATAATAAACTACAATCAAACAGGTTAATATAATTATGGTATGATTGTTGTTTTCCTTGATTACTATACAATAATAAATCACATTATAAAAATAGTTATTAGGATTAATCAAGGTCTTACCAACACATGACACACATGACACACACATAATATATTTGGAATGGTGACCAACACTCCTGTTTATCACCACATTTATTGCATTGCAATCTCCCATTCTCCCTACTTGTTTATCATGACCATCACTCCCAATCACTCTTCAATTTCTTCCAACTCCCATTCACATATTCCTATAAATTTAAATTAATCACTTGTTATATTTTCATATTGCACAATAGAAGACCTTTGATTTAATAGTTTTGGTTTAATTTCATGCTTTGATATGGTGGCACTTCAATGGCTCAGCTTAGTGGCTGCAATATGGCTTCAATCGGTGAACGGAACCAACTTGAACTTCCCGGCATATTCCTCCCGCATCAAACAGCTACTCTCCTTATCCCAAGTCCAGCTCAACAATCTCGCCTTCGCCAACGACGCCGGGAAGCTCTTCGGCTGGTTTTCCGGCGTCGCGGCGGCGTATCTCCCGCTCTGGCTCGTCCTCCTCATCGGCTCGACGCTCGGCTTCATCGGCTACGGCGTTCAGTACCTTTTCGTCATCAACCAAATCCCGTCTCTGTCTTTCTGGCAAGTCTTCCTCCTCACCGCCGTCGCCGGGAACAGTATTTGCTGGATCAACACCGTCTGTTACATCGTCGCCATCCGGAACTTCCCGTTGGACCGCCAGGTGGTCATCGGAATATCCACGAGCTACGTCGGGTTAAGCGCCAAGATTTTCACGGATATAGTTGATATCGTGGGGAATTCTTCTTCTTCCTCTTCTTCTCCGAACGAAAGAGCAAAATTCTATCTTCTCCTGAACTCTGTTCTGCCATTGATAGTCGCCGCCGTAGCGTCCCCTTTCGCCAGAGGAATCGAGATCGGAAAATCAAGAAACCTCGCCGGCGGGTTCAGCGCAATGTTTGTCATAACGACCGCCACCGGGATTTACGCGGTGGTGACGAGCTTGGGTTCGGGTTTGATTTCACGAATCTTGAGCCTCGCCGGCATGGCGGTGTGGCTGGTGTTTCCCCTGTTCGTTCCGGTGACAGAGGAGCTTAAGGAAACGTGGCAGAGGAAGTGTCTGCTAAGGCCTAGGCGGGATGTGAGAGTTCATAATACGAGCAATAACAGTAATCCGACCGAGCAAGAACTGAAGGCGGTGGCGCCGCCGGTGGCGAAGGAGGAGGGCCGGGCAGATGAGATAAACGTCAGGGAGGAGGTCGGAGCAACGGCGATGGTGAAAAGGGTGGATTTTTGGCTGTATTTCTTCGTTTATTTATTCGGGGCGACTCTGGGTTTGGTGTATCTGAACAATTTGGGCCAAATTGCAGAGTCCCGGGGATGCTCGGAGACGGCGTATTTGGTGTCGTTGTCGTCGTCGATGAGCTTCTTCGGCCGGCTTCTTCCATCCTTCTACGACTCTTTCTCCTCAAAGTAAGTTCTCGTCCTTTCTTGTCTCTCATTTGTGTGACGTCTGAATTTTGTTTGATGATGTCATACTAGAAAGGTATGATTCGAATTGTTTGACTTTGATTATGATGTGGCATGAGAAGGGCCTGACACGTGTGGGTGATGTTTATTGGCAATTCCTTCATGACCGTGTTAAATAAAATATTAATATTAATATTAATATTAATATTAAATGAAAAGGCAATGGAGGGTTGAGTGCTATGGTCATAATTACGACAAATCTAATGTTGTAGTCATATCTAGATGGACAACTGTTTTAAATAGATCGATGTGTGGTTCATTTATAAAACATTGCTTCTTACATGGGCCATTTGTTTTCCCTCAATTATTTACCACTAATAATTTATTGTTTTATCCATACTATAAATATTAAGTATTAACTCATGAGATAATACTCCATATAAAAAATAGAGATAGCTCAAAAGTCAAAATAGGAGTAAAGGCTAGGAAAAATTTAAAACAAGAGTAAGCATTTTTTTCTTTTGAAATGTTTTCAGTCCTAGACCATATTAGATCAGATGAGACTTAAACAGATTAGACCAAACTAGATTTAAACAAATCGAATTAGACTAGACTTGGACAATTATAAATACGCAGAGACCAAACATTTATCAGACTAAACCAGATCAGTTGAGCCTATAGTTTGAACTGATTTGATTTGATCTAACTAGATCAAACCATATTGGACCATACCATATAAAAGAAAACATCTATGTTTGATATGTTCTCATAATATGACGTATCAGGTTCCATACAAATAATAAGATAATAAAAACTTCTTTAAATAGGATCACATAAATCCTATTTCAAGACAAATTAAGTTTTGTCATGGAGTATACAATTCTCCGTATATTTATAACTATTTCTGGGAGAAACATTTAAATATTACTCCGTACTAAAACACAAGTGTTTTCTTAGTTGGTGGTCCGTATTTGATTACCTATGTTAATATGTTTATATAGATGATGATGATTAATAATTAATGATATACGAAGTATCTATCATTGAGGACGTGATCATGTGAGGCAGTGAGGCACACGCACTTTTATCATCATTATTTGATTAGAGCAGCTAGTTAAATTGTTTTTGATCAAAAAAATTTAATGATAATACTCCTTAACCGATAAGAGCAAGACGTGGTAACATCGTATTAGGGGAACATCATCTATATCACACGTATGATGTTACAATTTGGTCAAGTCCGATTAGAAAAGGATTAATAAAATAAAAATTATATGCTTGAAGTTTATTGAGAGTAGAGAAAATTCAGAAGCATAAATTCATTCACCAAATGATGTCCTCCTAGTTTCATAAAAGAGGCAAAATGGAACAATACTAAAATGCTAAGTCAGGATATACGTAGTATTATTTGTGAGATTTTTTCAAAAATATCACCCTATTTAAATTTATAGACAAAATGTAATAAAGTTGCTATGAATGTAACTTCATAGCAACCATAGCGTAAGATTGGGTATAAGTATGGTTTTACTTTGAATTGAAATTTGCTCATCGATCATCTGGTCTGGTTATGTCTAATCTCTGTACTATTCTTGAGTTTAAGGATGTTTTTACAAATTTCCTCGTCTGGTTTGGTTTGTTAAATGTCTATATTTTTAGTGTAAAAAGTTACATTACGTGTATTTTTATTTTAAAAAATATTTTTTGTACCGGTACGTACAGTCTGATCCAGTGCCTTGGCTCCGCCCGTGATTGTCCACCATCTTTATTTTGGTACAAATGAAATAACATTTGTGTCATTATTATTTATAAAATAACAAATAAAAACGAACAATTTAAAATGTTTAGCGCGGACACTTTTTCTCCTTTACAGTTTGCATTACTTCGTGGATACAACTCTTTCCAGCTCTCCTCATGGCGAATACGTAATACGGGTGTAACTCTATTCCGTGTGCATAGTTTACCCAACTATCTTTGTCTTACTTATCCATCACTTTTCCCTCTCATATCCAACACAACCTACTTACGTAGGTATAGTATGTATGATAATTGATAAATAATCATTCTTAGTTAATACTTGGTACGTACTAGTAGTATTTAGCACTTTTGTCAATTATATAAACTCATTATTCTTAACAATTACATTTCAATGTGAGTGGTATCATGTTAGTACTATGTATTAGCTTATACGAAGTATATTGTTGATGAAAATATGACCAGAAGTGGTATGCATTTATGTGTATATTGTCAAATGTTACTTCTATGTGACTTCAATTTATAAATGTTACTAGTACTTCGTAAACATAGTTACTTTTTATTTTTATTTTGTACTTATAATTAACTATATAATGTAATGTCAATAATTTGTTAATTTGTTATATAATTGATTATTTCAGGAGGGACAAGTACAAAATTTCAAGAGCGGCTAGCATAGGAGCAGCAATGGCGCCGATGTGTGGGGCTTTCTTCCTCCTCCTCCATGGAAGTCACATATGTCTCTATCTCAGTACGGCCGTTATAGGGACGGCCACCGGCGCCATTACTTCCCTCGCCGTCTCCACAACCACCGAATTGTTCGGCGCCCACAACTTCGGCCTCAACCACAACATCGTCGTCACCAACATCCCGATCGGCTCTTTCCTCTTCGGCGACTTCGCCGCTCTCCTCTACAACGCCCAAGGCCGCCGCCGCGGGGGCGGCGGTGCTTGCATGGGCACGCTCTGCTTCCGCACCACCTTCCTCATCTGGGGCTGTCTTTGCTCCTTTGGGACGTGGCTGGCTCTCCTTTTCCATGCAAGAACTAGACACTTACATTAATTATTATACTATCATCATTGATATGATGAAATTGTATTATTACTACACATAGTCTATTTTAATTCTCCCTTAAATTAAAAAAAAAAATAGTTGTAATCTTAACGTACTATGCTAACTAGCTCACAATGGCACTATGCCACTATGGTTCGAGTTAATAATTAATTGGTATATAGCTTGATCAATGGCGGCTATTGGGTTTGAATTTCATCTCCTATAGCTGTATTTCATCTCCAAGTTATTATGAATGAAGTTTGCTGGCATAAACGACCAGTGTATGCAGTGGCGGACCCAGAGGTTTGTGAGAGCGGGGGCACACTAGACACTAAAGTTAGTCTATAATAATAACTCCAAATGTAATAAAAATGGTAAAAAAAATGTACGTAGTATTAAATTATACAGAATAGTTAATTACATATTACATATTTCAGTGCTGCAACTTTGGTAAATCAAGCCCACGAATTTTCATATTCTGAAAATGTTGCATAATAGTTTCATTATCGACGCTTCTAAAAACATCTCTCTCGATGTAGCACACCAAGCAATTTGTAAGATAGTCATCTCCCATCATATTGCAAAGATCTGTCTTGATTATCAACAATTTTAATTTTTAAAATAATCCCCCAACTAAAAAGCAGGTGTCGTCAATGCAGAATAAATTGAAAATAAACTTACAAATCAAGGAAATATGGGAGGATTGAGCGGTGTAGGCGTGCGGCGGTGCAACATCAATTCAGCTAGACAGCGAAGTCCCTAGAGGTCAGAGCCAAGGCAGCGACATCCCCTAAAGTCGTAATTCGTAAACCGTCCACGTGATTTTTATCATTCTAGTCTTCCAAATGTTAGTGAGCTTTTAGACTTTTATCACTCCGTAGTTTTAGTTGCCCGCACATTGGCTACTCTTTTGCATTTTAACTTTTTTTGTTACTTTTTGTTTTCAATTCTTAATTATTTTTTTTGTTTTTTTGATAATTCTATATCCTTTATTTTAATTCAGCTAAAATTTAAATGTTTTGTATTAATTTTTTATTTATATAACCGTAACATTTTAGTATCTTAATTATCAAATACTGGTATGAAGCCGAGGCACCCGTTTTTATCCTAAGTACTACTACTGAAATTCCGGGCTCGAAGCGGGGGCACGTGCCCCACCTAGCCCCCCCTTAGGTCCTCCACTGAGTGTATATATGTATTGGGAATATTTTAGGAATAATTATAATATTCTATTTAGGCTATATTTTTATCTCTTTTAATTCTTGCCGTATTTAGCCTATTTTTGTGATGACCGATCCAAATTGATCGGTATCCATCTTGTATTTATTTGGCCGATTGGCCTTGTTCAATGACTAAGAAACTTTACCCTACAATACTCTTTCTTTATGCCTTACGTATACAAAGTTAATATGGTATCATAGACTCGTTTTGGCCAGTGAATTTCCGCAGCCATGCCGACGGACGAAGAAGGATCGACGCCAGCGGCGAAGATCGATTATACCTCTCGTATTATTTGGGACCTCAAGATAGGCTGGGTGACTTTATCACCCCGGTCTGTCTAACGACTACCAATTACGAGGAATGGGCGAACGCAGTGCGTTTGGCTCTCCGGACAAGACAAAAGTATGTCTTCGTTGACGTAACATTGAAGAAGCCGGCGCCACCTTGCACCGAGGAGGAATGGCTGGTCAATCACTCCATGATTGTGTCTTGGCTGTTGAATATAATATCTCCAAGAGGTCAAGGGGACCTTGTCTCACTATGATGATGCCATGCGTCTATGGAACGATCTCAAAGAAAGGTTCGGGTCTGTTGATGGTCCGAAAATACATTAGGTAAAAACGGATTTGGCTAAGTGTGCTCAAAAGAGAGGGATGACGGTCGGGACTTACTACGCAAAATTACAAATTTTATGGGATGAATTGAACAATTATGAACCTTTAATCCGATGTAAATGCAACGGGTGCACTTGCGATGTACTCGGACAACATGAAAGGAGAAGGGAGTCGGAGCGGTTTCATCAATTTCTGATGGGAATTTACACATATTTTTTTGGAGGCGTCCGATCCCAACTGTTGACACAAACTGAACTGCCAACACTCAATCGGGCTTATCAGCAGATGACACAAGAGGAAAGTGTACGTGGTATTGTGCAGGCACAGGAGGAGCGGCCAGAAGTCCTGGGGTTTGCGGTTCGTACAGAAGGCAAGGGTGCAGGCCGAGGAATTAAGGTGGATAAAACCGTATTAACTTGCACATATTGTAAGTATTCGAGACATGAAATAACAAATTGTTTTGAGCTTAACGACTATCCGGATTGGTGGGGTGATAGACCTCGACCAGGGATTAAAAACGCAGGCCGTGGTCGTAGTACTGGAAGTGGTGCAACGAATCGTGGAGCAGGAAGAGGGAGCTAGACTGGCAGCAAAATCTCATGCAGCACTGGCCAAAAGTAGCACTAATGCAACTAAGCAGATTCCAAAGAAGAGCCCAAAGCAAGCTGAAGGGAGTAGCGGGCAGATCACACCTCTTCCAGGCTTCACGGCAGAACAGTGGAATTCGCTTCTTTCCGTGATTGGTAACTCAGTCTCTACTAACGAACGCATGGCCGGTAAGTTTAAGGATAATGCATGGATTATTGATACTGGTGCTACCAATCATGTGTGTGGAAATCAAGTGTTGTTATCTCATGTTAAAAATGTTGATCCATGCACGGTCGGTCTACCTAATGGACAGACAGTGTTAGCCACGTTGGAGGGAAGTGTGCATTTTACAAATAATTTATATTTGAATAATGTCCTATTTGTTCCGCAATTGAAGTGTAATCTTATCTCTGTGTCTCAACTGAGCGATGACTTAAATTGTTTCATTGAATTCACGAGTAATTTATGTGTTATATAGGACCATCACTCGAGGAGGTTGATTGGAACGGGTGAACGGGTGAATGGACTGTACTACTTGCGGGAGGAACTAGCAGCATAGGCATTAGCAATTAAGGATTCGAAGAATAATGTGGCAGAATTATGGCATCAACGGATGGGACACCCTGCTTCTCATGTTGTTGAAAAATTAGCTCCCGTAATTGGACAGAATTTTTTTGGAAACTTTCCCTGTTGTTTTAGAGCTAAGCAGACAAGAGACCCATTTCCTTCTAGTTTAACTAAAACTCATGTCATTTTTGAGATGATACATTGTGATTTGTGGGGTCCAGATAACACCCCTTCTTCTTGTGGAGCTAGATTTTTTTTACTATTGTTGATGATTATTCACGTGTTGTGTGGGTTTATCTGCTTATTGATAAAAGGGAAGTTTTCAAAATGTTTTTCTCATTTGTGGAGCGTCAGTTTTCTAAGAAAATTATGCGTGTGAGAAGTGATAACGGGACTGAGTTCAATTGTTTGCAAGAATTTTTCTGTACTAGTGGCATTATTTTTCAAACTTCTTGCGTTGGAACTCCTCAACAGAATGGGCGCGTAGAACGAAAGCACAGACACATTTTAAATGTTGCACGTGCGTTAAGATTTCAGGGAAATCTGCCTATTACTTTTTAGGGAGAATGTGTATTGACTGCTTCTTATCTCATAAATCGGACACCATCTGCTATTCATGACTAAAACACCGTATGAGTTATTATTTGGGGAACCTCCGTGCTATAACTCTCTTCGAGTCTTTGGGTGTTTGTGCTATGCTTTTAATAGGAAGATCAAGGGAGACAAATTTGTTAGCCGTAGCAGAAAGTGTGTTTTGTGGGATATGTTTTCGGGAAGAAAGGATGGAACGTTGTTTATCTTGAGACCCGAGAATATTTTGTGTCTCGGGATGTAAAATTTTTTGAACAAATTTTCCCATTTGCCTCTACGCCATCTCTCCCGGAAAACCCACAAAATGCATCTTTACCCGATATTCTACCCACACATTATGATGATTATTTTCTTCTTGGCCGAAATGATGAACACCACGAGAGAATACCCTCAACCCAAGAGGATTCCACGACACCAGTGTGCCAGGAACAATCAAACGATATATTTACAAGCTCTGGGAACTCGGATACGTTGGAGGAGGTGCGCAACTCCTCTCAGGAGGAGACGGAACAAGTTTTGGGTTGAGGACAACGTACTCGTATTCCTTCAGTTCGCCTCAAAGATTTTGTTACACACACCATCATTAAAAACAGTCCATTCCCTGCTTCCTCTGCTCCGTCGTCCTCTTCAAGTACGCCGTTTCCTATAACTCATTATGTTGCTTGTGATTCTTTTTCCTCCCAACATAGAGCTTTCTTAGCAGCACTTAATTCGGTTATGGAGCCCGGTTCTTTCCACGAGGCTGTTAAACATGAAGGATGGCGTCAAGCCATGCGAGCCGAGATACAAGCTTTTGAAAATAATTCTACTTGGAGTCTTGTTCCTTTGCCTTCTGGAAAACATGCTTTAGGATGTCGATGGGTTTATAAAGTGAAGCACAAGTCTCATGGCACCATTGAACGCCTCAAAGCTCGTCTTGTTATATTCGGAAACCAACAGGTCGCATGTTTAGATTATACTGAGACTTTTGCTCCAGTTTCTAAAATGGTGACTGCCCGAGCATTTCTTGATGTTGCTGCTATTAAACATTGGGAGTTACATCAAATTGATGTACATAATGCCTTTTTGCATGGAGATTTAAATGAGGAAGTCTACATGACTATTCCTCCCGGTTATAAAACCACTAATTCTACTTTGGTTTGTCGACTCCATAAATCCTTATATGGACTCAAGCAAGCTCCGAGATGTTGGTTTGCAAAATTGGTTGGCGCTCTCAAGACATACGGCTTTCTTCAGTCCTATGCTGATTATTCACTATTCACTTTTACTCCCAGAACTACTCAGATTAATGTCCTAGTTTATGGGGATGAATTTACTCATCTCTAGTAATGATAGTGCCGCCATTTCTGGATTTAAATCTTATCTTAATGCGTGTTTTCATATGAAAGATTTGGGCACTCTTAAATATTTTCTGGGAATTGAGGTAGCGCGCAGTTCTACAATCATTTTTCTTAACCAGCGAAAATGTGCCCTAGACCTTATTACCGAGAAAGGTCTTCTGGGTGCAAAACCTGTCTCTTTTCCTATTGAGCAGAATCACACTCTTGGCGCAGCTTCTGGTCCCGCTCTCCAGGATCCATAACCATATCGCAGGCTCGTTGGACGACTGATTTACTTGGTTGTTACTCACCGGACATCACTTATTTCGTACACATTCTCTCTCAGTTTATGCAAAAACCACTCACAGAACATTGGGTAGCTGCCCTACGTGTGGTTCGGTATCTCATCCTTAGGCTATACCTTTATATTGTGACAGTCAGTCTGCCATTCACATTGCTCAAAATCCTCTCTTCCATGAGCGGACCAAACATATTGAGGTTGACTGTCACTTTGTTCGCGATGCTATTCAGGCAAATCTTATTGCTCCTAATTATGTTCCGACTACTATTCAATTGGCTGATATTTTTACCAAGGCCCTTGGGAAGACACAATTTCAGACTCTCCTGAGCAAGTTGGGCATTCTGAATCCCTATACGCCAACTTGAGGGGGGTATTGGGAATATTTTAGGAATAATAATATTCTATTTAAGCTAGATTTTTATCTCTTTTAATTCTTGCCGTATTTAGCCTATTTGTGTGATGACCGATCCGAATTGATCGGCATCCATGATCCATCTTGTATGTATTTGGCCGATTGGCCTTGTTCAAGGACTAAGAAATTTTACCCTACAATACTCTTTCTTTATGCCTTACGTATCCAAAGTTAATAATATGACTACAATTATGGGTGCGCACGGTCACCGGTTCAAAGTTGAATCGGATTTGGTTCGAATCGAAATCAAATTCAGATTTGCAAAAAGTAGAAATCAGATATTTGATCGGATGTATTCGGGTTTTAATCGGAAGCCAGAATCGGACTGGTGCAATTTTCTAATTTGAATCATGTACTTTGTAATTTCATGAAGGGATTGGATAACCTTTTATGATCTCACTTCAATGATTATATACTCTGTATATTCCAAATGATCATTGGTTAGCTACAACTTGTATGTGACCCAAATCTAAAGATTTATAAAAACTTGAATTATATTCTTGAAACAATATTTAATGTTCGATGTGCTACCTAATTACTACTCCCTCCAGTTCACATTCTTCTTTAGAGTTTGACTTTACGGTTTTTAAGGAAATAAATTTGACTTTACTGTAGAATTCACTGTTTGGCACTGTTTGACACTGTTTTGTGTAGATTTGTTTGTCAAATAAGGTAAATAAGGAAGTGTAAAGATGATTCTAGAACGACCCAAAAAGGAAAGTGTAAAGAAGAATGTCAACCGGAGGGAGTATGAACTTATGAATAGGGGTGGACTGGTTCCGGGCCGGGCCGGGTATCGGGCCTTTTTTTGGGGAACTGAGGCCCGGAATCGGCCCAGGTAGCCAACGGTTCCGGTCCGGTCCGGGCCCGGGCCGGTTCAATGTTATTTTTTTTCTTTTGCTTTTCTAATTAACCCCCAACCCCCCACCCTAACCCCCTCACCCCCCCCCCCCCCAACTCCCCAAAACACCCAGCCCAACCCGGGAAAAACAAAAAATTGATAAAACAAAAATAGGCCCGTACCGGCCGATTCCTATTTTAGCAAGTCCGAGCCCGCCTCAAGTAACCACCGGTTCGGGCCACCCGGACCGGTCCTATGATCAGGTACCCGGCCGGGCCGAGTACAAGCAGTACCGGTCCGGGCCACAGGCCTGTTGGCCCGGAACTGGTCCACCCCTAGTTTTGAAGCTGAATGCATACCCTCACTAAGGTCCGCTATTGGTGTCCATTTTATATTTGGGTCGTAGTAAAATAACTTTACAATTATCGCTTGGCAATGGGTCGGCCATTGACGTCCTATCTTTAGTTCTTTACTCTTGACCCCCCCCCCCCCCCCCCCCCCCCCAATATTACCCTATATGTTACCCCTCATGGGTGCCCATGTGAATCGTTTTATCTAGTTTGCATATTATTTCAAATTATGCACATCATCATCACTAAATAGCTACGTAGTATATATTAATGCTGTGCACGATATAGTCTAGAAAATTAAATAAATTTCTCATTTGAATAAGCTTTTTATTTAGAAAAAAGCAAGTACACGCTTAGGTAATTCATCAAGCAAAACTTATAAGTTAGACTATGTTCTGCTTTCCATCCATTGTTTCCATGCAGCCCTAACTTCTTCCAATTGGCACTCTGGTATTTTTGTGTTTGCATCCAGTCTCTCAGCCCATTCCCTCCATGGAGACCCCAAAGGATCCAAAAATCCAGACAATTGGGGCAACATTGTGGAATGGTAAAATTCATTCACAGCTTTGACAATATCTTCAGACTCTAACAGTGTAATCAACTCAGCTCTTGCTTTGTTGCCCGGCACCGTTCTTGAAGCAAAGCCATTACCCTTCAAAATCAAAACTTCAGATGGAGCAAGGGGAAGGACGATCCGCGAGTGTTTGCAAAGAGATAATCTCAGAACATCACGGGGTAGCAACTTCCGCTTTATTGCAATTGCTGTTGCTACCATTTTCCTTATCTGAATACAAAATGACAACAGTAAACTTACTAGTACACTTAATGAAAACTTCAGTCCAAGAGGATTTACTAATATACTTACATACCTTCTTTCATTTCATGACTTTTTGGTTAATGATATTGGTACCAAGAAGAAACCAAAAAGTCAGATAAAAAAAGTATTACAAAAATGAATTGCTTAAATACATCATTCATTTAATGTGCATTTTTAATTTTTTATCATTACAATAGTTAGGCCTTCTCGATGATACCACAGTACCAATATCATTTTAATTTTAAGGCTTTGAGTGAGAGAAATAATCTATGAGTTTCTTAAGCATTCAACAATATGATGCAAATTAATCTCTGGAGAGATGCAAATTCAAATATATTTGAAACCATCAACTCTGGATGGATTAGAAGAAATAATACTCCCTCCGTCCCCCTAAGTTTGGGACGGAGGGGTGTGGTGTGGTTTTTAAGAAAAAGTGGAATTGTGTGGTTGGTATTGAATTGATAAAGTGTAAATAAAGTAAGAATGAATTCTAACCATTCAAATGTTACCAAATATGGTATGAGACAAACTTAGTGGGACGGACGAAAAAGGTAAAACGGGACAAACTTAGGGGGACGGAGGGAGTAGTTGTACTTCAAACTTGGGAAGTTCTCAAGTCCACGAAAAAACAATTGGAAATTATAAGTGTATACCATATCAACATTAAGTGTCAGGTTGGATTGGGGTTTTGGATGATTTGAAAGGGGAAGTTTTAGAGGGTCATATCCATATTTTGTATATATTTATGATAGATTTTAAAATAGAAGGAATAACAGTGTTAGATAATAATAACATTTCAATTTCCCTTTAAAATTAATAGAAATTGCTCAAGATAGGACCAAAACATAAGCAAAGTGCAAAAATGTGACTAAGTATATTTTATTCCCTAGATGGGACTTATTTAGTCGTATTAAAAGAATAAATTGATTAAAACTTCCTAAAATAGGAATGAATGAGTCCTATTTTGGGCATAAAGTGTTAGGCATCAGCCTAATCAGTAGTTTTAACTTTTAAATAAGGGGGTTAGGGGAGTTAAATAGCTTATTAAGTGCCTATAGCTTAATTAGTTGTCTATTTAGCCCCTGCGTGGACTTTTGCTATAAATAGAAGCTGAGGTAGCCATAATAGGCAGACTGTTATTTTGATTATCGGTTGCCTTGCTGCCCAAGTCCCGTTGCCTTTGTTGCCTACGATTTATCTCCTTCCATCAATAAACACTCTTTCCCTATCATTTATCAGATCTGTGCTTGTTAGTTTACTGTATTTCTCAGATCACTGCCAGGTACCTAACATTGGTATCAGAGCAATTGCTCTTGGTATATGAATCGATCGAGAATATTAACTACCTGGAGAGATGGAAGAATACTGTACACCAGAAATGGAGAGGAGGATAGATTCACTGGAGAGGATCATTACCGACTTTAGAACGATGACTGAAAACATCGCAGGACAGTTTCAGAGCAACATTGCGGCTTCTATGGCAGCGATGAATGAACAGTTCCAGAGCAATCTAGCGGCTTCTATGGCCGCGATGACTGAGTAGATTCATAGCCTTCGCGATCGTTCCAGGGGGAGATTGCGATCACATCATCTTCGTCATTCTCGAGTCGATTCCCTCATTCCGTCGCAGAAGTCTTCGCACTCAACATCGTCGTTTATTTCTCCTAATTCACAGATGCGAATCACTTCTCTCAGTTCGCGTCAAAGTGCTACGCGATTGACGGGAGAATCTTCAGCTTTGCACTCGCGATCCGTTTCTCCCAGTTTGCACTCGCAGATCGTCTGTCCAAGCTCGCAGGTGTCGTCTCTATCCAATCTGTCCAGTACTCAGGTGTTGAAGCGAGCAGAGGTTCCAACTTCACAGAAGGTGTCACGGACAGCTTCCCTCAGTGCTCATCCAAGTGAGACGAGATGGACCGGAGGTTTCAATTCACAGACTTTATCATATACCAGCAGCTCACTTCAGGGTACAATGCGATCAGAAGGAGGAGCTTCCAGTCCGCCCTCGCTGCCTGAGTCGCAGGAGTCTGGCAATCCACGGAAACATCTCTCTGAGGATACGTTCATTGATGATGATGAAAGACAAGAGGAGAGATCTGATGGGGTGAATCAACTCTCGAGTGCCCTCGAATATGAGTGTGTTGAGGACAAAATTGGTGGTTCTGAATTGGAGAACCCAGTGGTTTCTGACTCAAAATTGCTGATGACAAAATTGCTGGTTCCTGAAACCCATGTAGGTATTATGGGAGATCCGGTCACTACTGAGCTTCCGGTGGACAGAACTCAAAGTGGTTCTGGCATGGATAGGAGAGGAAGTACAGAATTCGTAATTGGCAGTGATGGCCATGTCAAATTGGATGAAAGGAGGAGACGGCTTCAAGAGTTCATTGAGGTGAATAGCCCTTATATGATATTACTTCGGAGTACAAGAGAGGGTGAATGGGGAATAGATCTCAGTATCCTGAAATCTGAAAAGCTTTTGGAGGATGGTGAGAATGCTTTAGGGAGCTGTGAAGAGGTGATAGAAAACATATTTTATCCTAAGATTCTTGAGAGAGTGCAGCAGTTTGTTTCTGAGAAAAGATAAAGCTATGTTCGTATTGATGGGCAGATTTCTATTCAATCATTCTATAACTCAAAGGAGGCTGCAGAAAGAGTTCATAGACAAGAGCAAAAGAATGTAGGCAACCTGTATATCCTTTGTGCAAAAGGAATCTTAACTCACACTGGACAAGTAGGGGAATCTCAAGCTACTTCATATACAGTTCCTATAACTGAAATTAATAATGAAGTAAGATATGCATACTTCCTAATTCGGGACAGCTCAAATTCTTTCTTTGCTTTATATGATGGACATGGTGAATTGGTTGGGAGTGGTGTGTTAGGTGTTGATATGCTAAGATTGCTAACTAGTAACTACAGTTCATGAAGCTTTAGATGGAACAATGTTACCTTGGCAGTCCAGAGCTACTACTGCATAGGGGTGTAATCGAGCCGAGCCGAGCCCGAACTCCCATATGCTCGAACTCGAGCTCAAATTTTTTTTACATGCTCGAGCTCGGCTCGAGTTCGATCGAGCCCAAATATTGTAGCTCGAGTTCGACTCGAAAGCTTCTACTATAGATCGCAAGCTGCTCAAGATCGACTCGACAACCTAGGCAATCAATCACAGACCTTGCAATGTTCTGCTTATCTGATGCCTTAATAATGCATAGGAGAGTGAGTTGCTTTATAGATGGATTAGCAGGGTGACTTCTCCTCACTTTCCGGTGTGGGAAGCACAATCTTAGAAGTTTAAATTTAAATGGAGCAGTAGACTCGCATACTACAAAAAAGTTTGGAGGATGGGCTTCGAACTTGGGTTGCCAGCGTCAACCTCCAGCCTTGTAGTTTTCCAACTCATCTACAGGCACGGATGCAGTAACTATAATCTCAATCGTTTTTTAACCTTGTTTTGTATGAGCTAATGAAAAATTAATACTTGCAAGAATGAAGTGGAAGTGGAAGATCATGGCTGACTCCTATCACCCACCTTGAGGGCAAGGTGGTTGTTTAGGGGGGGGGGGGGGAGTAATGTTAGGCATCATCCTAATCAGTAGTTTTAAATAAGGGGGTTAGGGGAGTTAAATAGCTTATCAAGTGCCTATATCTTAATTAGTTATCTATTTAGCCCCTACGTGGACTTTTGCTATAAATAGAAGCTGGGGTAGCCTAATAGGCAGACTGTTATTTTGATTATCGGTTGCCTTGTTGCCCAAGTCCCGTTGCCTTTGTTGCCAACGGTTTATCTCCTTCCATCAATAAACACTCTTTCCCTACCATTTATCAGATCTGTGCTTGTTTTAGTCTTATTTAGGGAATTTTCTTTTTAATCAATTGTATTTAATTATTTATCAACCCCTTCATTCATTTTTTATCAATTATATTTATCAAAACTATCCCTTCCATCAAACTGGCCCTAATAGAAGCCCACCCCCAACATAGTAACACAAATTGAATTATGAGTTAAGACAACAACAACAATACTTGGAAATGGAGAATGAGATTAGGGACTAGGTGTAGTTAGAGAAAGACTCAGCAATTCAGATATTAACCAACCGAAATTCTTAGAAAAAAACAATGCAAGTGAAGTATAACTCCTAAAAGAGAATATAAAGTCATAGCTTATGAGTTACCTGGTGTAACATGAATGATTCTCCACAGACAAAAATCTCCATATAGTTCATACCAAGAACCTGCTCCAAATTCCCACAATGACAATGAAATATCCTTCTGAAATGGGAAGAACTGAGTTTATCCCTCTCATCAGGTTCATAAAGCCATTTTGCACGGGTTGTTAATACAGGATTACATTCCTCTAGATCATCCATTTCACAATCCCGAGACCCTGGTGGAGTATCTTGAATCCTTTCCTGAGAGGTCCTCACACTGTTCATTGCTGCATATAATTTGTTCCCATCAATGTCCTCGGATTCAGATAAACCCTCCTCCTCCTCTTCTTCTGCACATGTTTTTCCTATTTTATCCTTTGTTTTGTTTCTGGTAGGAAACTGTTTCCTGTACTTGGATCTCATTGTATAGTTGTGGAATGGATGTTCTCCCTGTAATTACACAACAATGAACAAGAATATGATGAACAAAAACTCTTACTTCACAGTTTACTCAGTGGATTCTTACATGGAAATTATGGAATATTATTAATTTTTAGAGAAGGAAGAAGAACTTCATAATGTATAAAAAGAAAATACCTCGAAGGTTTTTAGTATATTGTTAAAATCTGATAAGTGATAGTCAACTTCAGATGAATCTGAGTCATTCTTTATCCCAATGATTTCAGCAGGGAGGAGGTAAGAATACCGCCTGACATTACACTCCTTTCTAGCATCAAATGTTCTGTAAGGAATATAAATTATAAATTTATAACTATTACTATTGTTAACACATGAGGAAATAAAACTGCAATGTGTATGAATGGACCACAATGTAAGAAGAAGATAGAGAAATTAGTTTAAAAACCCATAGAAACAAAAACTTGCACTTTTTAGCAACTCAACATACCTTGTTTCTTTTGGGTATGCTTGGGTGCTTGAAAATGCGAGAGAAATGGAAAAATATGCTATGCGATGTACAATTCTTATGTTTCAATTTACCGTGGAAAATTCAAAGGAAAATTAAATGCTAAGGAAAATTAAATGCTTCTACTTTATTTCAGATTTACATACATTTCCATTTTTTACTCTTTAAATAGTGGATAAAGTACAAAAAATGAGTATGAAATAGCAAAATTAAAAAAAAAAATGCGTTTATAATTTTAGCCTACCTTTGGTTTTCTCCCTTGACTTTTCTCAATTTTTACCTTCCAATTATCAGTCCTAGTATTTCCTGTGATGCAGCATAATGAAGCTTTAAGTTATAAACAGTTGACTACAAATGCAGGTTTATGCTTTTTCAGTCATTCTTTGAAATCTTACTAAATTTGGTCAGTGAAAGCCCACACTTATACCTAATGATAATAAAGTACGATGTAGCTGCAATTATTGAACATTAGAAATTAAAACTTAGGGTTATATTTTGGTGCACAAAAAAAGTAAGACTGCGCACATCCGACCCCCCTTAGGCCCTTACCCCACCTAGGTGGGAGCCTTAGCGGCACGGGGTAATGATGATGATGACAAACTATCTCCGTCCCCGAAACAACTTCCCGGTTTGACCTACACATATTTAGGAAATAAACTTACAAGGGGGTAAATTAGGGACATTCAAATAAGGAAAGTGGGAAGTTGTTTCGCGGACGGAGGGAGTATTAAAAAAGTACTAAATTACTTCTAATAGGTAACATACAAAAAAATGTAATAAAATCTCACCTTTGTAATGGGAGGATGCTGAACACTCTGATGCTCTCTGGGAGATGAGAATCAACTATAGTTGCAAGACCCATGCCACTAGGGTCATTCTTCCATGCCGTCTCAGGGATTTCCATTTTCAAGGATATGATAGTAGACAAAGAATGCACCTAATGTGTTTTATGAATATATGAAATTAGCAATTATTTCAGAGAACTGGAAATTAATAGCTCAAAAAACTATCGAAGGTTTGGGGTTTAAAATGCAGCTTACTCCTTTATCAGTCCGGCTACTTCTTGCCCAGCCAATTTTGTACAAATTCCCAAAATTACTATCTTTAATACCGCCTGCCTTGAAAATAGCCTTTTCCAGTTCACCTTCAATGGCTGCATTGCGAAACTGTAATGCTTTAGAAAAATACCAAATTCACACCAATCCTGTTCAAGTATCATAATCATCACTTGGGAGATACAGAACTTAAATCCCCAATTTTAGTGAAGAACATAAATCCAATCTATTTCAAAAAAAAAAAACATTAATCCAATCTTAGTACAGGGCACTAACTGGTGTAAACCGAGTAATGAAGAAGGATGAATTCATACAACAATTAGAACTATACATTCAATGCTAAAAGGAAGATAGTAAAATTGCAGATGGGAAGAAGGATTCTTACTAGAGAACGCATGTTCATCCCTTTGCTTTTGAAGTCCTGCAGCAAAACTCAACATAAAACGCTGGGATTTTACTCAACTAAAATATAGGAAAAAGGTAAGCAAGTTAAACATTTTCTGGCTTAAGAGTACCTCGATAATCGGAGCCTATGTATCCGACCCGCATAACAACTTTCTTCTTTAAGAAGGGTTCCCATTTGGTGGCAGAGATGGGGATGCCCGGGTTAGACAGAGGCGGAGCTAACACTTCCGGTGAGGAACAAGGATCGAAATAAATTGGGACTGCCGAGAAGGAGGATGAAACGCAGAAACATAGAGAAAATGAGAAACGCTTGCGGGGGATTCTGAAGCGGAGAAGAGCTCGAGGGCGGAGAGCGAACGGATGGCGTAAGGGAGGGACCGCCATAGCCGGGGACTCGACAGTGCACATAATTATTGCGGCGTAACTCACCCGTACATTCACGTTGCAGCTGGTTTTGTGATTCCTCACAAATTCACCATATTACATTTTCAAAAATGGTAGAGGTACCCCGGCCAATTTGTACTCCAATTTGTACCTCTACCTATTTTTGTGGCTCACAAAAGCAACTCATTAAAGTGGAGCAATTCATTTATTGAAGTGGGCTTTTGTGAGCCACACAAATAGGTTGGGGTACAAAATGTGATACCTATACCAAGGTTGTTACATTTTACTTTCAATTTTTTTTTGGGGGGCAAAATTCTTTGAAATTGTATATTGATACTCCGTATTTATTAGTATGAATGAAATTATTTAAAATGTGAACATTCTATAAAAATATACTACCTCCGTCCCGAATTGATTTGCAAATTTGACTTTTCTTGGTCAAACAATTTCATTTTATTTGCTTAATTAGGATATTAATTTTTAATTATATTATAATTTGAAGTTTGCAACTTTAAAGAAAATTTAATGTAGTTTCTGAATATGTAAATTTTATTTATTAAAAATTGAGTTAAGTATCGATAAGGGGGGTTGACTTTTATTATTGGTTGACCAAAAAATGTTGACTTTGCAAAACAATTTGGGACGGAGGGAGTACTTTACTAATAAACAATTATAAAACTATAAAAATAATAAATTTCACAGAAATATAATAACTAAAATCATTATCAAGAAAAATCAATTTGATCATTATGAAATGAATGGAGTAATCAAGTAATTGTTAAATTTTCAAATTTTAAACACCACGCCTCATATTTCTTTTTACTTCTTTCCCGTCTCCTTTATGCTTTATCATGACACTTTTTTGAAGCATGTTAGTAAGGAAAAAGTTAGGAAGTGTACACATGATTAATTATGAGAGGAAGGTAAACGTAAGTCTAAGGTATAATTTTACCTTGTTTTGAGAGTTGATAATACGGTGTTAATAAGGAATTTAAGTTTTGTGTGCTTTTTGAACGATAGTTCAATTTTAAGCCTATTAAGATAATTTGGATAATACTCCTATTTAAGAATAGTCAGTTGAGTACTAAATACTTCCTATGTCCCAATATAAAAGACACACTTTCCTTTTCGGTCCGTCCCAATATAAAAGACACATTTCCTTTTTTGGCAAACAAAACAATGTCAAACAGTGCCAAACAGTGTCAAACTATGTCCAAACAGTGCCAAACAGTGTCTAAACAGTGTCAAACAGTGTTCAAACAATGTTCACCCTTAAAAAGTCCTCAAACGCAAATGTGCCTTTTATATTGGGACGGAGGGAGTATGTTAGATCAAGCTACGTAAATAAAAAATATATTGAGGAAAATGTATGTATGGACGAATTGGGGGAACATGTTGCAAGAGTCAATCAAACCCAATTAAAACACTTAAAATCTATTTATGGATCGAATGGAAAGTAATCTAGCTATAGCGTTAATCGCTTGAAGTTTGAACTTTGGCTACAATGTATAAAAACCTGCCTACTTTGCAACCAAAATAACTTCTACATGAAGACAATAAAATGATGTAATCAAATCGTTGATTTCAGAACTCAAACATTTAGTGATACATAATTTAGTGTGGATAAATTGCATGTTCGAAATTGAAAATTAGGGTAGCTTATTTTGTTCTTACCATAATCGTTAGAACAAACATTGTAGATAGTTCAATTCACACAATGATATTTTGCAACCATACCACTAAAGCATAACAACGAATGATATTTTGCAGCCATACCACTAAAGCATAACAACGACTACACATGGATATGATCAAATGATACTAAAAGCTTCAAAACTAATAATCTAACATAGACAAATCTAATAGACTTCACAACAATGGTTAAAGCAAAGCAAATAAATACAGATCATTGTGAGAGCACATTCTCCCGTGATACTCCTTGCAAGCTCGATGTTCTTGTGCATTATGGTCAGACGGTTGTAATGAATGGCTAAGGGAGTGTTTGCAATAGCTTTAAAAAAAGCACTTTTCAGCTTTTGGCTTAAAAAAACACTTATTTACCAAACACTTCCAATTTTTACTCTTTTTCGGATTGCGTGTGAAAAGTGCTTTTCCCTCGTCTATTACACAAAAAGCACTTATTTTACCAAACACTATCAACTTTTACTTTTCAAAATCACTTTTTTCTCAAACACTATCAACTTTTACTATTAATCACTTTTTCATTATATCTCCAAAAGTGTTTTTTTTAAGCAGAAGCAGTTGCAAACACTCCCTAAGATTAGTATCCTCAAACAGATCGATCAATCATACACTCTCTTTGTCTCGTTAAGATCGTCACATCTTTATTATCGTTCCGTCCCACTAAGATTGTCAGTTGTAATATATCAAACTTGATAAAGTTTGTATGATTCCAAATGATTCTTACTTTATCAATTGAATATTAATCACACAAGTCCATTTTCTTAATAATCGCATCACCTTCTCATGTCCAATGTTAATGGGATAGCGCTAGTATACAATCTAGATGTTACTAAAAAAATCATAATATCTAATGAAATAATTACATAAATATGACCAAGATAAAGATGATTTACAAAAATATGATTAATTACTGGAGTAGTAATGAAATCATAGTAATTCATGTTCAAGTTTTGAACTTAAGTTACCACAACACTACGTTGTAGTAATGAATAGTCATATTTATGTAAATAAGTTTATTTTAGTAATATTCTTGTAAAAAACTCAATATCTAGTACTATCTATTTATTTAATAACGCAAAAATAAATAAGTTAGTGTGATTTAAGAATCAATATTATAGTCAAATCTTTCCATTTTAACTCCCATTATTAGCTATAGGCTAAACCAAATTATTCGCGATGACTCCTTATTGTCATGTGTTACATTATACGTAGTACGTAGTAGTATGAACTATGAATTGGAAAAAGAAGATATTAATACGTCGGTTGCCCGGTTAGCACTATTTTATACGTAGTAAATCCAAAATGACCAGCTAAAACAATGTGTATTTTATACTATCGTATGTCTTTAGAGTGGAACTTTTTTTTCTAGACATATTGCTTCTCAAATCCAACACATAAATATTGAGAACAATCATTATTTTGCAACCTAAAGTAGGCTTTATTCAAATATATTGGCTGGCTGGCTGACTTACATACCCCTTTTTTATATTCGAAGATGACAACTCCGGTACCCTTCTAAAAAATAGGGTACCGTACCTATCATTCTTTTGATTGGACCACATCACTTTATCATTTTTAATTTAGATTTAAATTATTCAACTGATAGATTCTCATTGGTCCATGTGGACAAAGGTATGGTACCTTGTGGGTACCATAGAATCTACCATATTCGAATTGCTTCCTTCATCTACACTGCAGATTGAAAACTGGCTCGTGAGTGTGAATGCTCTTACCCACATCCACACCCCACACCCACCTTATAATTGCATCCGATCACCTATATCCACTAATCATGGAATGTAAAACTTTGAAACCTATATGCCCACGTGGGCCTTAGAGTATATGGACTTCTCTCGGTCTCACACTATTCAGTTTGGACAAGGGTTCACATGCGCTCAATACATATCGTTTGTATTATGGTACACTTTATTTATTCATTTGTATTTATTAGATTAAGTTTGTATATACTTGAGTCTATTGAGCTCATTTTATCAGCCCATGTTTTTCTATATATACTCCATTTCGGAGCTTGTAAACCCTCCCTAACTTCACACATTCACACATTGAATACCTTATTCATCTTCTTCATCTCTCCATTAGCTCAATCTCTCCGAAATAACATGTTTGAATTTCTACAATACATCAGATAGTTTATCAATATATCCGAAATATGTATAAAAAGTTTCAACCAATGTGATGTTATCTTTTGAATAATAATGATAATAAATGTTATGTAAAATGTTTTTAATTGAACTGATTACAGTATTATATCACCATGATCAAATTAATTAAACTTAAACCAAATCATATTGGACAAAAACATTAGCAAAATAAATAAACAATTGACATTTATCATACTATACGTATACTGTAAAGTAAAGTACTTTATGATGTAATGACATCACTGTGACACTTCCAAATAGGGAGTCATAGATTCAAATCACATACCAATTCAAAAATGTTGGCCTTAAAAAACAGATACTACCCAGTATATAATACATACTCCCTCCGTCCCGCAATTAACTTCACACTTTGACTTCACACAGATTAAGAAAATAAATTTGACTTTACTGTGGAGTGCACTGTTTTGCATTGTTTAAACAATGTTTGACACTGTTTGGACACTGTTTGACATTGTTTTGATGTAGAGAATTTGCCAAATAAGTAAAGTTTTGAAGTGTGAAGTTAATTTTGGTACTATCCAAAAAGGAAAGTGAGAAGTTATTTATGGGACCGAGGGAGTAGTTTTTTTTTTTTCTTTTGAGGAGTAATACGTACGGAGTAGTATACGAAGTATTAGAAAGCTTTGTCAAAACAAAAAATACTAGTGCGTATCCTTTTTTTTTATGGTATATAGGCTCTGTTTGCAAACACAACTAAAAAAGCACTTCCCAACTTTTGACTTAAAAAAGCTAAAAAAGATGTTTTCAAATGACAACTTCTACTTAAATGAATTACTTAAAAGCTAAAAGCTAGAATCTGCTTTTTACTTTTTCTATTACACAAAAAGCACTTATTTTACCAAACACCACCAACTTTTACTTTTAAAAATCACTTTTTTCTCAAACACTACCAACTTTTACTATTAATCACTTTTTTACCAAATCATTTAAAAAAGTTAAAAGCACTTCCCAGTTGGGTTTGCAAACAGAGCCATACTAGTGCGTATCCCAAATAAATCAAATCAGACCGATTTCGTTGAAATCGGATCACCAAAAAAACATCTTAAATCACTTAGGGTTTGTTTGCAACTCCTTTTAAAAAAGCACTTCTCAGCTTTTGGCTTTAAAAAAGCACTTATTTTCCCAAACACTACAACTTTTATTTTTCTCGGCTTCCGCGTCAAAAGTGCTTTTACTTTTTCTATTACACAAAAAGCACTTATTTT